AAAATGTGTTGATATATAGCATATAGGTATTGTAAGTAAAACGAAACACAATATCTGTTTTTGTATTTAAGTCATGTCAAAATTCATTGATAAAATAAACCATTCGTAGAAGTATTAAATAAGTTGTTTCCATATGGAAATTTTCATTAATTTACTTATTGTTTTATGAAAAAAACTGAAAATTTTTTTTATTTCCAGAATCAATCGAGTCACTATAAGTCTTCCATATAAAATGTAAAAAAATTTAAATTTTAAAATGTAAAAATTTATGAGTTACAAAATTGAATAAATAAAATTTTAAGCTTAAATATTTTCTACATTAACGACTTTTAGGGTAAATTTTTCACAATGATTAATTATTAAGTGTTTAATATATCACCTAACTAACTACACTACATAAGATAATATAAGTTAATAAACAATTTAAAATAAGTGCAAAACTATCACTTATATATTGTATTAATAGTAAGTATGACAGAACACACATGGCTTTCTTCGAATCGTTTCTTTCAATCGTCTTAGTTATAATTATTAAATTAATTAAATAATACAGAACCATCGTAATATTCACAAGAAAAACCACGAATCTAGCATTCAAAACAAAACTTATTAGCCTTCTAAATCAATATAATTTTGAATAAACTATTAAAATAAAATAAAAAAAATGAAAAATGAAATAAAAATATCACATCCCACAATATTGATTAACATAAATAAGTCGTATACTCTTATAATTTTAAATTAAAAGCTCACACTGTTATGCAATTATATCAAAATCCCAATTACATATAAATATTCCAACGATACGATAGTATTAACAAAATTCAATTTATATTAATAATAAAATGAATAATACGCAAGATGTTTTTAACTGAAATAAATGAAGCGAAGTCACGGATAAGCTACTATATATGAATTGTTACACTTACCAACTACGAGTATAAAGTAGATATGCGCTCTTCTATGTGCAACTTACAATTTTATACTTGTTATCATTATTGTTTTTTGTCAAATAATAATTACAAGATATAAAGGTCCCATTCGCGTGTATCTTTATGTTTATATTTAACATTGATAACAAAAGTTTATTATGAGTTACGGGATAAACCAGTGAATTTTTAGTAAAAAACAAAAATAATAGTTATTAATTACATTATTTTTTTTTTAATATTGTGTTATTAAGTTGAATTTTGTGAATTTTAATTTTTGCTTTACACTTCAGTGAAAAATGGAATTAATTTTCCTACTACCTTTAAACATCTGCAAGAGATAACAATTTTCTGAAGTAATGGTGACAATTATGTTCACAGGGTGTTTATCAAATGAATGAATGAATGAATGAACCAGTGAATGTGAATGAATGAATAAATAAATATTTATTTATGTACCAACAGAAGAATTATTATAGTATTTTAAAAGAAATCATAGGATAACTTGTCTCTTAGAAGACAACAGATCTCTACCCGAAATCCTTTTGATAGAGGAAATGAGAAAAGAAATATGGTGTATGGACAGTAAAGAAAGAATTAAAAAAAGTTGAAGAAATAAGCATACAAACAAATTTATAATAATAGGAAATGTAGATAGTATGTATACATTCTTTATGATAAAGGGGACCACCGGGCAGACGGCCTTGCTGATGGTAGGTAGTAACATCGACCATAGACATAGGCAACATAAGAGATGTGTTGATATGTCGCCATCCTTGATTGGGGTAGAGGGGCAGGAAAAGGTGGGAAAGGAAGAAAAAGGGAGGGGTAGGAAAGGATGGGAAAAGGGAAAGGGAACCGGCTCCCTCACTCAGCGGACGAAAGGCAGTCATTAAAGACTACTTGACGTCGATCTTCTGTGAGAGGGTGGTACTTCCCCGGTCAAGCCAGCACATTCGAGCTGTAGTAACTTGACCACAGCTGGACTCTACCACCTGTAAATAAAAAATACCAATAAAAAATAAGATATATCTAAATAAATAAGAAACTTTTTTATCACATATATTATAAAGACCGGCTATATATATATTACATTTTCTGAGGAAATTCAATGAAAATTTTCTACTGGGCAACTGAGTATTATCTTATGTCAAAGCTCAATAAATAAGTATATCACTATCACAATTATATTATATGTTAAGAAAATATTGGCTTACGTTATATATATGTACTAAATAATATCGGATACATCAAGAGAAAAACAAAAGTTTAGATGCAATCTTTATGCTCCCTCCATCCATTGGGCACCTAGAATGTTTTAAAGTTTTCTCAATGTGATCAAATGTTTGTCCGATTAATTCTTAATATTAATATTGTTTGTCCGATTAATTCTTAATATTCTTAATATTAATTCTTAATATAAATATGTATTATTATATTTTAAGGTATTAAAAATATAGCCAAAAGTAAAAACAGAGAATGTATATTTTTTCTGTCATTTTTAAACCATCTTAATAACTATCCAACGATTACTGATGAATATGTTGGGTTACTTTTAAATTATCTAAAAGAAAGAATGATTTTCAAGGAAAAATTATAAAATAAATTGCTTGCCGGCTTGCGTAAATACGACCACAATTCTGAATTCCTCAGCAAATTAAAGTGGTTCCCTATTCGCTTTCGCCGGAATATGCATGTTTTAACGCTAATGTACAATATGTTCAAACATTCTTCTCCCCCGTACCTACTCGAGCGTTTTAAATTTTCCTCCCCTAGAATCCTTCCTAGCTCTTGTGTTACACAAAATCCTCTTGATATTCCCTCCTTTAATACAAAATTTTATCGTAAATCCTTCTCCGTCCAAGGTGCAAAACTATGAAACTCACTCTCTCCTTCTCTTTACAGAGAGAGTCCAAGTGCAGTTGCATTTAAACATCGACTTAAGAGACATCTTCTGTCACTTTTACCTTAATATAATATGTAACGTTTATCTATTTATTCTATTCGTAAATATTTATGTATATATCTATGTTAGTATAATATCAGAATTTTATACTATTATAATTTGGTTTGTTTTCATATATATACCTCTTTTTTATTTTTACCTTTTCTCTTTTTTTTTATCTAGTCCACATTTCTCTTCCTATTTCCTCTTTCAAAAGGGTTTCTGGTAGTGATATCTCTTAACTGATAAGCTATCCTTTGTACATCACATTTCTTTTATAATACTGTAATTGTAACAATTTTTTTGGTACATAAAAAAATAAATAAATAATTTCGTCAGCCATTCTTGTAGAGGAAAAACTCACCAAAAATTTGCAAGCAGGATGCAAGATATTGCAGTGAACAAAAAAGAATTAGCTCATTTTTATATAAAGTTTGTAAATTGTTTTAAATATGTCTGGTTTATCGAGAACAGCTCCAGTTATCCTTATCATATGATGGTTTATCATCCAATAAATTATATAATGTCACAAAAACGAGGGAAATTAAAACAATGATATATGTATTATGTTAAAGTATCCCTCAAATATATTAAACTAACTTAATTAATCTGCTAGAAATTTTCAAAGTTCAAGGTATTTAAAATCAAATTATTTTAAACTTTAAACCATTGACCATTATGAACGCTAATAATATTTAATCTAAAATTATTAGCGACTTTCTAAAATTGTTAGTCAGATTGGGTCTCAAAATAATTATAAACATTTGTTATAAACAATTTATTTACAGAAAATACAAAGGTTTTATTACATACATTATTATCGTTTTATTATGACTCAGATCAGCCTCTTAGTAAAATATATACAATTTGATTGTAATTTTCAAAAGAAATGATTGAAATCTTTATATATTTCGTCCTTCCCCGTCTCTATGATCGACATGATAAGTTTCGTAAGATCTTTTGGCCATTCCGAAGTGAAACTGAACATTGATTTAACCATCGCTTCCATAATATTAAATTCATAAACCTTGCCATCCAGCGCTGCCACTAAATATAACAGCTGTGTACTACAAAAATCGATCTATAGCATCCGGTCTCAATGACAAAACTCCATATGAGGTGTGATATGAAAAGAAACCCATTGTATGAGATAAGTATAGAACGATAACAGTACACAGAAGAATTATGACAAACATTTAATATTACAGAGAGTAAATTGAACATAACAAAAGCAGAAAAATGTACAGAGCAAATTAGCTATCAAAAACTCTTGGATTGTCTTATGTATTTGGCTGTCATGACAATACGTGGTATTGCATACTCTGTTAGTTATCTAAGTCAATTTAATACTTGCTACCATATTGAACATTGGAACTATGTTAAAGGAATTCTCAGGTACTTAAAGAAAATTAAAATGTATTGTTTAAAGTTTATTTGTCAAGGTGAGAGTTTATATTGTTTTATATGTTGATGCTGATTGGGCGACTGACAGCTTAGATAGAAAGTCTTACAGTGGATTTTGTTTTGTAATGTCAGAAACAGCTGCTTAGTGGCAGAGTAGGAAGCAGAAAGTTGCAGCCTTATCCAGTACAGAGGCTGAATATGTTGCGCTCTCTGAAGCTTGTAGGGACACAATATATCTAAGAGAACTATTGCTTGAATTAACTGGGTCTTTGTTAACTATTAAGCTAAATTATGATAACCAAAGGGCATTAAAGATGGGTACAAATCATCAATGTCGTAATAGATCAAAACATTTAGATGTTAAACATCATTTTGTTAGGGAGACTATCAAGAGTGGAAAAGTAGAGGTAAATTATTATTTACCCACAAATGAAGTGCCAGCAGATTTGTTAACTAAAGGGTTGTTAACTAAAATTAAACATCAGAAGTTTATGGAAAAATTTAGTTTATTATGTAAGTGGGGGTGTTGCGGTCAATTTTATCAAAATACATAAATATGTTACTAGCGACATCTATTGTGAAATGTACTAAACCTTAATATAGTCAGTCTGTACTAAATAACGAGACGTGTTTGCATTACAGTTTTTGCGTTTTTAAACGTTGTTGGCAATTTTATCAATTTCTTCTTCCTTACCCCCAATTATTACTTCAGTTACGAGTGCTCACAGATATTTTACATACAGATTTTTGTTGTATGCGTAGTAATGCACTATTTTGGACCAAAGGCCATAAGCAGTTGGTTTCGCATCAGGGCTCAATTCCACAGGACTTGCAAAAGCAAGTCCATTAGCAAAGGTAACGTAAAGAACGTTGTCTGTCATCAAAATAACATATCGCACTTTACGGAAATCTTGGCCCAAAAACTTAAGGGATTTCCTGCCTTTCGGTAGACCCAGAACTTTGATAATCCCATCAGCATTTTTAATGAATACATCCTTATTGGAGTCATAGAAGTAAATATTTTCAAAATAATCCAAAACAATTTCCTGGGCATCTTCTACATCTTGGAGCAACTCTTTGTCTGCGCCTTCATTTGTCACATTATATAATTTGTGATCTTCACTCAGAATGTAAATGTGTTTTCCATCTACGTTTGTAGCGATATCGATAATGCTATCGGAAAAATTTCCATATTTATCAGCGGACTTGGAGTCCACATTATAAACATATAAACCATCGCTGGCTCCGAAATAGACTATTTTTTCATCATTAAATGAAGCCGCCGCTGCTCTTCCATTAGGCAGAACCATTTTCTCCTCACCATTCTTATATAAGTACAGTCCTTTGTCAATACGTTTGCCATCCTTAAGATCAGCTTCTACTAAGAAAACCGTCATATCCGGCTTGCTATCAAAATCAATATCTTTCATAGACTCCAAGGTAAGAGCAGTCAACGGTACCATAATATCAACGATATCATGTTTCGCTTTATATTTAAGGTAATTTTTATTGAATAATATGTGTCTTGATAACAAGATCACAATTTTGTCATCCTTTTCTTCTGAGAGAGGTGCAGCTATATACCCTCCTATAAAGAGGACTACACATAAAAACGCTTGTGTTCTCATTTTTCCAGTCTGAAAATAATTATTACAATACATTAATAAGGATAATATAGACACAATAATATTTAAAGGGTTATGTTTTACTTGTAAAATTTCAGAGATTAATTTTAACACTGTTTACAATGATTTTAACGACTTAACAAAAAATGTGTTGATATATAGCATATAGGTATTGTAAGTAAAACGAAACACAATATCTGTTTTTGTATTTAAGTCATGTCAAAATTCATTGATAAAATAAACCATTCGTAGAAGTATTAAATAAGTTGTTTCCATATGGAAATTTTCATTAATTTACTTATTGTTTTATGAAAAAAACTGAAAATTTTTTTTATTTCCAGAATCAATCGAGTCACTATAAGTCTTCCATATAAAATGTACAAAATTTAAATTTTAAAATGTAAAAATAAATAAAATTTTAAGCTTAAATATTTTCTACATTAACGACTTTTAGGGTAAATTTTTCACAATGATTAATTATTAAGTGTTTAATATATCACCTAACTAACTACACTACATAAGATAATATAAGTTAATAAACAATTTAAAATAAGTGCTAAACTATCACTTATATATTGTATTAATAGTAAGTATGACAGAACACACATGGCTTTCTTCGAATCGTTTCTTTCAATCGTCTTAGTTATAATTATTAAATTAATTAAATAATACAGAACTATCGTAATATTCACAAGAAAAACCACGAATCTAGCATTCAAAACAAAACTTATTAGCCTTCTAAATCAATATAATTTTGAATAAACTATTAAAATAAAATAAAAAAAATGAAAAATGAAATAAAAATATCACATCCCACAATATTCATTAACATAAATAAGTCGTATACTCTTATAATTTTAAATTAAAAGCTCACACTGTTATGCAATTATATCAAAGTCCCAATTACATATAAATATTCCAACGATACGATAGTATTAACAAAATTCAATTTATATTAATAATGAAATGAATAATACGCAAGATGTTTTTAACTTAAATAAATGAAGCGAAGTCACGGACAAGATACTATATATGAATTGTTACACTTACCAACTACGAGTATAAAGTAGATATGCGCTCTTCTATGTGCAACTTACAATTTTATACTTGTTATCATTATTGTTTTTTGTCAAATAATAATTACAAGATATAAAGGACCCATTCGCGTGTATCTTTATGTTTATATTTAACATTGATAACAAAAGTTTATTATGAGTCACGGGATAAACCAGTGAATTTTTAGTAAAAAACAAAATTATTGTTCTTAATTACATTAATTTGTTTTCCAAAATATTGTCTGATTAAGTTGAATTTTTAATTTAATAATACGAAAATTATTTCAACCTGGTTTTCCGAATCAAATGACACAAGAGAAATCGATGGCATAATTTATTAAGCTTGTTATTACTATTTTCAATATTGAATATCGATAAAACTTTAAGTTAAATGTAATAAATACACCAGACAAAATATTAATAATTAGAAGAATCAAAACTCTTAGTATTTATTTATATTTTATAGGAACAACGTTCACTGCAAATCATATCACAAGAGAATAAATGGTACGGTAACGTAAAGACTGTCTGTATCTAGTTTCATAACAACTTGGACTAAAGGCACCAAGGTGATTATGACTCCAGTCCTAATTTAAAATGACAGTAAAAAAACTTTTTTTATTAAATCATTCCCGTTTTAATGTTCCAGTTGTGTAATTAAAGAATTCTCGATATAAAAGTGCCACCCATGTTCTTTTCTCTTAAGATTATTATCATAATTGATCAAGATGTAACAAATAAGATAGGTATTTAAACTTAAAGAAGAATATATTAGCTACGAAAACTCTAAGATGACTAGGATTTGATACCAATATAAGACTTTTCGCTTAAGAAGTAGCCCCTGGTTTTCTTTATGAAATTTGTGTGTTTTTTTTATTTTGTGGTGATCTTGGGATGATAGAGAAATATCTGCAATTGAACATTTCTACTTTTTCCATTACACAAAGCACATAAATTATGACACGACTGTCAGTAAATAGTTATTCAATTATAAAATATATTTTTTGTACAAACAAAAGAAACGATTTGTTGTTAGTAAAAATATTTATTATATAAATATTTCAATAGTTCTACATACATTAAGATCTCTACTAGTCTAAAGAGTTTTTACGATTTTCAGCGACGATGCGACTTCTCTCAATTTCTCCTTAAACAATTAACATTAGTCACACAGTGAATTCATACAGATTTTCGTTGTATGCCTAGTACTGCACTGGAAAGATATCAGCGCCATAAGCAGTTGGTTTCGCATTGGCACTGAACTCCAAGCTAGTAGCTTCAGCTGTTCCATTAGCTTTGATAACGTATAGAGCGTTGTCTATCATCAAAGGAACTGATTCCTCCATTATAAACGGTGGGTTCACAAGGTTAAGGGATTTCCTGCCTTCCGGTAGACCCTGAACTTTGATAATCCCATCAGCATTTTTAATGAATACATCCTTGTTGGAGTCATAGAAGTAAATGTTTCCAGAATCATCCAAAACAATTTCCTGGGCATCTTCTACATCTTGGAGCAACTCTTTGTCTGCGCCTTCATTTGTCACATTATATAATTTGTGATCTTCACTCAGAATGTAAATATGTTTTCCATCTATATTTGTAGCGATATCAATAATGCTATCGGAAAATTTTCCATATTTATCAGCGGACTTGGAGTCCACATTATAAACATATAAACCATCGCTGGCTCCGAAATAGACTATTTTTTCATCATCAAATGAAGCCGCCGCTGCTCTTCCATTAGGCAGAACCATTTTCACCTCATCATTCTTATATAAGTACAGTCCTTTGTCAACACGTTTGCCATTCTTAAGATCAGCTTCTACTAAGAAAACCGTCATATCCGGCTTGCTATCAGAATCAAAACCTATATTAGTCTTCAAGGTAAAAGCATTCAACGGTACCATAACATCCACGATATCATGTTTTGCTTTACATTTAATGAAATTGTCATCGAATATTTGTCTTGGTATCACAATTTTGTCATCCTTTTCTTCTGAGAGAGGTGCAGCTATATACCCTCCTATAAAGAGGACTACACATAAAAACGCTTGTGTTCTCATGTTTCCAGTCTGAAAATAATTATTACAATACATTGATAAGGATAATATAGACACATTAATGTTTAAAGGATTATGTTTTACTTGTAAAATTTCAGAGATTAATTTTCTAATTTTTTTTTATGAAAAAATTTGAAAATATATTCATGTTTTTTTTCCACTATCAATCGAGTCACTATAAGTCTTCCATATAAAATGTACTTCAAATATATGTATGTATACACTGTTAAAAATGATCGACCGTCAATGATTATTAAAAAAGTAATATATAGCTTATTTATAATGAGTTACACAATGGAATAAATATTAATGCGAACAGACAATATGACTTTCATAAATAAATAGAAAATAAATGGTTTATATGTAATTGATATAAAGATTTCGATTCATTTCCTCGATCGTAACATTCCTATAGTTACTGAAGTAATAAATTTTATCGTTTTAATGAAATACGTATTTAAAAAAGTTAATAAACAATTTGAAACAAGTGCAAAACTATCACTTATATATTGTATTAATAGTAAGTATGACAGAACACACATGGCTTTCTTCGAATCGTTTCTTTCAATCGTCTTAGTTATAATTATTAAATTAATTAAATAATACAGAACCATCGTAATATTCACAAGAAAAACCACGAATCTGGCATTCAAAACAAAACTTATTAGCCTATATAAATGAATATAATTTTGAATAAACTATTAAAATAAAATAAAAAATGAAATAAAAACATCACATCTCACAATATTGATTAACATAAATAAGTCGTATACTCTTATAAGTTTAAGTTGAAAAATCACACTGTTATGCAATTATATAAAATTGACCATTATACAGGGTGACTGGTGAATTACTATCAATATTTAAGGAGAATACTCGGTACATGATTCTCATTTGAATTATGTAAAAAAAATAGGCACTTAATTTTTGACAAAATTAATTACATAACTTTTGGTTAACTTTTCTTAAAAGTTTATTAATATTTATGTTATATTAATTTTTATTTTGTCATATATGACCGTCAAATATCACGTCCTCAAGTATCGATAGTAATTCACCAGTCACCCTGTATATAAACTAGAAGACCAGGCGAACTTCGTATCGCCCTATAATCAAGAAATATCTGTTACGTTTTTTATACATATTTTTGGAGTTTATCTATTAAAGCCATAAATCTCCGTCTTTTGAAGTGCGACAGAATGATTGACATATTAGTTAGGTGTCAAATCTAACGTCAAAAAAAAAACGTTTATATCAACAACTGCTAATAAATTAATAAAAAAAACATTGTCCAGCGGACAAAATTGTGAATCTTAACCATTCCCAGATCCCCTTGAACAAACACAAAAAATTTCATCAAAATCGGTCCAGTCGTTTGAGAGAAGTTCAGTTACATACACACTCACAGAAAAATTATATATATAAAGATATTCCAACGATACGATAGTAAAAACAAAGTTTCCTTTATATTAATAATAAAATGAATAATACGCAAGATGTTTTTAACTTAAATAAATGAAGCGAAGTCACGGATAAGCTACTATATATCAATTGTTACACTTACCAACTACGAGTATAAAGTAGATATGCGCTCTTCTATGTGCAACTTACAATTTTATACTTGTTATCATTATTGTTTTTTGTCAAATAATAATTACAAGATATAAAGGACCCATTCGCGTGTATCTTTATGTTTATATTTAACATTGATAACAAAAGTTTATTATGAGTCACGGGATAAACCAGTGAATTTTTAGTAAAAAACAAAATTATTGTTCTTAATTACATTAATTTGTTTTCCAAAATAATGTCTGATCAAGTTGAATTTTGTGAATTTTTAATTTAATAATACGAAAATTATTTCAACCTGGTTTTACGAATCAAATGA